TGTAATTGTTATGCTTTTGATTATGTTGAAGTGAAATCGATGATACATTAAGTAGTTCAGAGTTAAGATCGCATCTTTATATCTGCTTATCTCGAAACACCTGCTATCACAGAGAACGCGTACAGCTGGTATCCGAAATCCGAAAGGCTGACTTTTTATGTCCTGGTATATCACGGGCTACACATGAGACCTGTTAAATATTTCACGTGGCTGTTTGACATGCTCAATGTTCTTTCGGTCTAGAATTTGTTCCCCCGGGAATACATTTAGGCTCAGGATCAGACTCAAGGCAATTCAAATTGATGTACAGTCCGAGATGAAGGATGTGTTAAGCAACAGATTTCATGGTTGTGTTTCTTCACGAGAACCTCTCATGACACTTGGGGCTATGCAGCACTAATTCCACAGCGCTGTGCTTATTCAGAAGCTGATAGTTCCTCAGCTGCTCAAGATATCCCCTAACTCACACTTTACTGGACAGCTATTTCAACCCTTTGAAGATGAAAAGAGGGATAGGCAATTAATTCATCGGGGAAGCCAACTCTGCGGCTACGAAGGTCCCCAGGCAGTACCCGCTCGTCCTTTTCGAAAAGACGAAGCTCATCAAAATAGCAAACATCCAGTCCGTACCGCAAAGAAAACACAGCGATTCACCATTACGAGGATCGAATGGTTAACGCTGGTTAAGGAAATAATCGCTGTTTATAGTGAAATTTATCCGAACCCCATAAATGCAAAACGAAAAGTTGCTGGTTTTTGAGACAGGCGGTACATATAACTGTCACAGGACTTCACGAGGGTGATAATTATCTTTCTATCTGTACCTAGGTCTCTAATGGTCTCTCTCCTTTAGTTTGTATTTATTATTTATTTAGCTCATACTTTGCACCACGTCCAATTTAATTTGATATCCTTAACATTATTTGAATAAGAACACAAATATTATTCTCAACGCAATCCTCCGTCTACAACCTTCAATTACGAAGCGAGAAGCCTACAAAAAAAGATAAAATTTATAATTTTATATATCTTAATAAAGTTTTTAAATAGGTCTCAGGGAAAAATATTTGTTTAACAGAAACAAAATAATTGCTCTCTGTATACGAAACTATCACCATAGCAACGACAAGTAGACACTGAGCACAGCCGTGTGAAGCTGAGTCTCTCCAGAACGACCCGTGACGTCATAAGAGGCTTGGGATTACAGGCTCTTCACTGTCAACACGTACACATGAAAAATAGCAACAATAGAAAATGAACCGCGACGAATTCTCAAGCAAGGTTGCCATGGAAATCCGCAGCGGCCGGGTAAAATTTTGTTTGTTTCACAGTCACTGGCAAGCGGATGGAGCAGGGCCCTTATTTTCCAAACAAAGTGCATGTTTACACGTCTGACTAACTCAAAGCTTCATTATCGTCCCTTTTAATCGTCATGAGGATTAAAGACTTTCAGTTTTTAAGCTAACAGCTGCAGAAAATCACATTCATTCGTAAATTAATATTTTTTTTTCAGTTTCTCACTTCATTTCAATGATTTCTTTCAACTTGAAACTCGTGTAGCGTTGAAATAATGTTACTTCGTTCTTGATTTTATTCATCGATCTATTTCACACTATATTCATTGTGTAATGTTAATGGTTTATTTATAAAGATGTGTATGGAAGCGTTGTGGCATATTTAAGGTACTCTCCTATTGGCTGGATGGTCTGAAGAAAATCATGGAAAGCCACAGTCTGGTCAGTCAGCCTCTGGACCAAGTACCGAACGCTCTCTTGAATACAAATCGGAATGCTAAACGCTGAACAGCATCGCCTCGTACTATCTACCATTAAATAAGTATGAAGTGTACTCCAGGGTTCCCAAGGATTAAAAATCAAATATTCGTCATATTTATAAGGTATCATAAATACAGTTTTACAATTTTAAGAGGACAATTTCCATTATTTCGTCAGTAACCTTCCTCGCATAAAGCATATTGTGCAGCCGCCATGTTAGCATCTCCCTGAAATATCAGTATCACCAGAGAAATTCAAAAGCCGGTAAACGTGTGGGCATTGTTACCATTTTGGTAAACATCTGAGAAGCGCCTAGCTGTTCGCGTTGCTATGTAACCAAGCAGATGGCGAACTGCACAGAATACTGCAGTTAGGGCGGTCTCGCACAATCGATATGTGATCCCACACATGTCTATGGACCTTGGTTCCACCCTCTACCGTCAATGGCAAGCGATTTCAATCAACAATCACAGAGACGTCAGTGCAGCTGTACCTCCGAATCCAGCATTCTGCAAGACTGACGAAACGTCGGTCGGCTATCGGCTATCCTGACAAAGGTTGTTCGCGGTTTTCCTCTGGAATGCTAAATTGCAGGATATCACTTTCAAGTAAGAGGTAGCCGTCTCCTTTCAAATCCTTACATAGTGATCATCACTTTTATTAACTGCGAAAATTCAGCTCCAGCGCGCTGAGTGAAATTCCAAAGATACTTAAATCACATGACAAAATGACGCATTGAGACCGGCCACTTCCATACAGCTTCATAGAACCCGTCTGTGAAAAGTTAATTACCCCCCGAGTCACTTCTACCTATTAAGCTAAAAGTAATAGTACTCTCAAATGATCCAATGTACATACGGCAGAGTTCACTACAGATTCATAGTTCATAATGACCTTTATACTCTCAAATGATCCAATGTACGTACGACAGAGTTCAGTACAGATTCATAGTTCATAATGACCTTTATGTCGCAAAGTGTCTCGCAAGCGCTCTACAAGAACCACGAGACTGTAAAATTCCGGTGTCTAAGATTCACAGTTACTTAATGGACTCCTCTCGCTCGTCGTATGTTCATTCACGATACGCCGTGCTCCTGCGGCAATTTCTCCGGCACTACTGTGTGGCATGTAGTCTATACGCGCTGCATTAGGCGTTTGTTGCATTTCAGTATACCTAACAAACATTTGCATTAGTTCGCTAGTTGTGTGCACTGTTTAACGTAATTTAAACGAACCATCTACTTTACATGAACGCCCGGTATTTGTTTACTCTTTACACATTAAATTAAATGCGGGCAGGCCAATAGTGTCCCGAAGAATCACAGAGCGTTATCTGCATCTAGATCAGTTGGCGCCTTCGACTCTTCATCCGGCATTGCTATGCAGATTAAACAGAAGAATTCAGATGGGCGTGACACGCAGCATGAAGTATAAAGCAATACCGATCGCCAGAGTGAATCCTGGATTGTTTAATGACACTTTTAACTTCACATAACGCCTACTCTAAAACCTGCCACGGTGGTCTAGCGGTTAGAACGCTGGCCTTCTAATCCTGGGGGTCTCGGGTTCGATTCCCGGCGGTGCCCGAATTTATAACTTGCGTTGGGCAAGGCCGTGGTCTAGGCAACACGGAGTTTTCCTCCGTGGCATCCCAACAATTACTCCATTCACACACAGAAGAAGGCAATGACAAACCACTTCTGGATCATCTGCCAAGAACGTATATGAACAGGTCCCAGTCCGAGAAAAGGATCGAAGGATCCTGTTCATATGGACCTGTCGCCAGACAGAACACTACAAATAAAAAAAAATAACGCCTACTCTATAATATAAATCGTAAATAATGTGGTATAAATCGACCGTGGTATATTTTAACGCACAATTCCGCAGTCATATCTTGCCAGACCGCTTTACACATCTCAAACCAATTCATAACAAGCTTCTTACTCATCGCACTGATGATGGAGACAGCAAGGACACGGCGCTACAACCCAGAACACAGTCATCTTCATACCCGCCGCCATGAGAACCTCAGATCTCAACATGAAAACGTCATGATGAGTTACCTAATCGAGAGTGGATCCGGCGACCACAATGACAGAACAATCTTCAGCCCTAGTCAGGGAGTCAACTCGGAACGTGTCCTGACAGCCAGCGCGCCACTCCTGCCTTGAAGCGAAACAGACATGTGGTCCAAATTGTTCACAGTGCCTCCATCATGTTCAAATTTGGAGATTGAAGACGACCTTAATCCTTAATGATAATTCGTCCGGGTACATAATTTGGTTAGTATTCAGAATAGTAGAATAAACGCAAAAGGTATTTATATGTAACCAGTCAATTAAAAGCAAGGGAAAAGTGTTTGGGCTCACGTAAAACCTAATATATACCCTCAGTGAAGACGTATAGAGAAACCCTATGAAAAACTCATGATAAAGGATTTTCAGTTCTAGAGTAAAACCCTCGTAGCAACCGAAAAATAAATAACGCTGGTTACAATCGTGTGGACACGCTCAAAAGACTTAACTGAGGTAATCATAAATAAACCTCAGACAGGATTGTCAAGACGCTCAGAGCTTCTTCAAACGCTACCGATCGGTGGAGTCTTAACCAGGCCGGTGCTGTGCGCGAGGCATGAACCATGAACCTAAGAAGTTACCGCTACCTGGTACTCTCAAAAAGCACAGGTTATCCCAGTGAGGACAGTAAACATTTCGACACAGATGATACTCGTGTCAATGCAGTTACGGAACTAATCATTACGTAATGCAGTTCGCTAAGGAGAAATGTTCTCCATTACAGAAGCACAACGCAATGTAGCACCAAGGTAAGTCTCGTAACTTGAAACAAGGACAGAGGCTACCGTTAGGGCTCGCGATTTTAAATGCCGGACTGCTGGCTAGAAGTCAGCAGCACGCATCCGGAAGGTCCTGCGACCGGCCAACTCGACCAAGGTTTTCCGTGGTTTTCCTCGGTACTAGAGCAAATGCTGAGTTGGTACCCAATTTCCACGTTGCTCTGCATGCCTCCCATGCAGCCCTCTCAGAGTAATATCAAAATTCCGCTCTATAGTAGCCCCCCCAAAATTAACGTAAATTATTCCTAACGCCACCCCCAAGGCCAATATCAAAATTCAAAATTAACGCAAAGACCCGAATCAACTCCCCCCTCCCCTATTTCTTACCCCATCCTGTGTAACTTGAAACAAACTTATGTCCATCTTACCCTCTTGTCCCGGAATTTGACCCAACCGTCGACGATGGTCTGATCGGGAGTTCCTGGTATCTCAGTAAGTACTTCAATCTGACTATCAGACTCAAGATCGGTAAGTTCAGAGTCAGTCAGTGAGTTCGGGTCACCTATACTCCTGGCCGGCGAGTTACAAGCACTTTCACCCATCGCCACTTTTTTTCCCCAGAAGTCGAAACACAACACTCGCTCTGACACGCACTACTATCACATAATGCACCAGTCAGCGGATTAAGAACACCACCAAGTAGGCAGATTCCGTGAAAGCAAGGTTATTATGAATTATTCATATTAACACGCACTCTATAAAGTTACCTTCCGTTTTCAGTCATTCACTTCACACTCGAGTTTATTATCACGATCGCGTGAATTTTTATATTTTAAAGATAAAAGAAATTCGAGGACAGAAACTGCCTTAAGTTTAACAACTTCATACACAATCACGCCACGCGACAGTCAGCTGTTATCGTCACGCATTAGACGACGTTTTATCGTCACTCCGCTGATTTTGATACCGTAATCAACAAAGATGTTAGACACCGTACGACAACCGAGGGCAAAATGGGATGTTTTCACGCGAGATGACGATATACGGAGTCCCCGACTCTTTGCCCTATTTTGCTGTAAAACGAAAACGGCGTGGTTCGTAGATAAGATAGATAATTACGATGGGACCGGGTGCAACACAAATTTGTATCCTGCTTTGATATTCAGATTTTAGCGGTCACTATGGAAACCATATGCCCGATGTTCCGTTCTTCGACGTCTCCGGACAGTCACCGCGTCCCTTCGCCCGCGCGACGAACCCTCTCCTAACATCCGCCGGCGACCCAGTCGCGGCGTCGAATGGTGGGACGGACTTCGCAGAGCGCCGCAGCGCCGCACGTGCCTAACACCACCTACCGGAGACCGGCCTCACTATAAGCCTACAATATATAGATATAGTATCTGTACGTTACCTTCCATTAGAGTTTATTTTTGAGGTGACCAAAGTTTACCAAATTCTTTATATCAACGGTTTGAATGTTTGCGGTATGCGTCTGTTTACAAATAATTCTATGGAGCAAATATCATCTCGAGAAATCGATAATGGCTCAGATGATCAAAAACGATCTGCTTTTCATAAAACACAAAGATTCATTACCGCATCCAAAAAAGCCCGCTACTTTGCATATCTTTAGGCTATTGAATTCCTCACATCCCATAACTGTGATCCATTTTAATAATATCCTCCGTATAGAAAACCCGTTCGATTTCCTTCCTTTATTTTTTCGAGATGCATTTTGTAATTATTATTCCACTCATTCTTAAACTCAGGCAGCTTAACCCTAAGGTCGTTTTACCTTTCAGAGACAGGTCCTCGATAGAGGACCCAAGTTGTGGTGAGGAAAACAAAACCTGTCCTTGCCTAGTGACTAACCCCGTTTGGTAGACGGTCACTTCATCGATTCACACTACCCTGGCTCGCGGTAAACTATATATGTTAACCTTGAAGTCGTTACTCAAACGGAAATAAAATTATAGTTACTCGTGTCTGTGAAAACTTATAAATCTTCAACCGACTATATGGGGAGTGACGGCAGAAATTTTAACTTCAGCGGCGTAATGTTGCCGTCTGCCGCCGATACGGGACGTCTGTAGGTAGGTACGAATGATAACTATGTCAGGGCATCGAAAAAAGGATCAATATCACAGAGCAGTTACATTGAAACAAGTAAATTGTTAGCGAGACGCGTAGGCAAACCGCCGGAATGGAAACTGACGAAGTGCGAGGTGCATACATCACGCTCAGACAGGGGCGAAACCATCACCTCAAACTAAAAATGCAGATCAACGAAAAAGACAGTAAGAATTTTTATTTTTTTAAACTAGAGACGTACTTTCATGACGCAAACAACATACATCTTTTTTTCCTTTCAATAAAACCACGTTCCATACACGAACTACTAACAGGTAACTAACATTTATTATGTAAATTAATTTTATTTTTTGATAATTACTTTTTTCACATTTTAAATCATATGAACAAAAATTTTGAAAAACTACTCTAAGAATCCGCAATAAATATTTAGCCTGTTGTACTGCAACCCGCATTACTTGTACCTCTAGCACAACCCGAAGTGTTAATAACGAACAACAGTGCTCATTTTGATCAAAGTTTATCTTTTTCCTCTATTAACTTAACAAAGAATACTTCTTACCCTTCGAAAGCACAGTCACTTTTAGGAAAACGAAAATAAGCCTATATTCGATAAATTGTTTTTACTAAATTCCTTAAGAATAAAATTTGAGTGCTATGGGGGAACACGTTTCAAAATTTGTTATCACCTGATATCTTACAAGTGATCAGATGAAAGATAAAGATGAGTCGGGCTGGACATTTGGCACTTCTGGAAGAAAAAAAACTAAAGCCTAAAATATTTTGGTTCGCAAAAGAGACGACATGCGGGATCAAGACTAAGATGACAGAATAATATTAAACATTTTGCTGAAGATGTGTGGTGTAAAGATGTGAACTGGACTCAGCTGGATGAACTCCGGTCCAAATGACAAATTTGCATGAAGAAGTCATGAACAATGTTATAAAATACAAGCAAGGAATTTCTTGGCCATCAACAACTCAAGACCTTAAACCTTGGAATTAATTAGGCAGCTATCCCGATTATTTGTTATGGGTGTTTCAAGCCCTCCTCCCCTTCCACGCGGCCGTACAAGTGATACACGGATGTCTAGAATTATCCGGTAACAACGTTTGATATTACAATATGATGGAATTCAATTCATTCCACCGTGAACATTCATCGCCGGTTAACACAGCAATCTCGCGTACATTCTCCCTCTTGGGAGTAAAATGCGCCCGTTAAACAATGCACTGTGATTGTCTGCGGATTCCCTGAATCAACAACTTCGGTTATCCCAGTAGTAAATGTAATTTGTTTATCGTAATAAAGTTTTAAATATGTAAATGTCATCTTTCGGGCAATTAAAGTAATTTCCCACACGGGGCATTAACTCTTCAAAGCAACAAGTCCATCTAAATACGTATGTACGAATTCGGTCCGTACCGCAGAGAAAACACAACTCTTCACCATTACAAAGATCAAATGATTAACGCTGTTTAAGGAAATAATCGCTGTTTACAGCGAGAATCATAGTTCGTCTAAATTACATTTAAGAATCCAGTCCGTACCGCGAAGAAAACACCGCACTTCACCATTACAAAGATCAACTGGTTAACGCTGTTTAAGGAAATAATCGCTGTTTATTCCAATGGATACATTGAACGTGGTACATAGACCGCCGAAAGGTTTAATGGTACTTAACTTGAATACGTATGGCCCAGTCACCACAAATAGGAGATTAGAAATATCTGTTATGGTGCAGTGTGTATCACAGAGAAAATAGGCAGGTGCTATTATCTTCTTGTTAGCGATTCTATCAAAAAACCCAATGATACAAAGCCAAGCACAATTAACGGCAAAGATAGAAGTTCAAAGAGCATTTTCTTCAAAGAAATCAGATTAGTTTCTCTGGAAATACAGAGAATCGCTTTAAAATAAACTTTCGAAAAGAAATCTATCTTCTAACAGGGCGTTTTATGCTTGCAAGAAATTGTTCACTTTCTTTTAGACGTGAATGTACTTCCTTATTACGATTGTTTGAACCTTTGAGATTCTGAAAGAAAAGTTTGCTTTGTACTGCATGCTGTAAGCCAGCTGGGAGAGGGTTTAAAACGTTATAATGGGGACATTTCAAGTTGAGGGGGTGGGGTGGGGAAATGGCCAACAGCATTACATGAACAAATCGTTTGACCAAAAAATGTTTCCAATCTCTTGACATCAAAAGAATCAAAGACGGGGAAAAATGAGAACGTATCCTCGAAGCAAAACAGCACGTGCGTCCCACGTAAACGAAAAATAAGGGGTAAATACGATTCTCCTCGCTCTCTCTCTTTTCTCAGTTTTAATCTCCGTAAAAACTGATAAAGAATCAATGATCGGGAACATTCCTGGATATTCTTTAAGCGTCCTAGGCGTTTCGTTCCAGAGAAAATTAGAAGAATATCAAAACAGAGTATGCAAAAGAATCTACTACCTGTTCAGAAAACATGTCATACAGTTGTACCTGAATCTACAGGAAAAATAACACAGCGAACACACCCCCCCCCCTCCCACTCCCAATGTCCGATGTGTCAACTTTTAATGTCGGAGTGCAATCACTGAAATTTTTAAAAAAACATGGTCCGTAACTTTCGTGTGATGACAGACGTTTCAAATTTAAGTAAGCTTTATTCAATCAAAAAATTTTCGTGTGATAAAAATTCATGTGACATTTCAATTTGGTCTAGCGGTTAGAACGCTGGCCTTGTAATCCTGGGGGGTCTCGGTTTCGATTCTCGGCGGTGCCCGAATTTATAACTTGTGTTGGGCAAGGCCGTGGTCTAGGCAACACGGAGTTTTCCTCCGTGGCATCCCAACAATTACTCCATTCACACAGAGAAGAAGGCAATGGCAAACCACTTCTGGATCATCTGCCAAGAACGTATATGAACAGGTCCCAGTCCGAGAAAAGGATGGAAGGATCCTGTTCATATGGACCTGTCGTCAGACAGAACACTAAATAAAAAATAAGTGAAATTTGCATTATTATGCGTTGTAACCACGAGCAATAACATAACGAATGGTTTAAAAATCTTAGGTGTAAACAATAATATAAAATAAATAATTTATAATAAAAATACATTCGTCTAAACAAACAGGTAATAAGCAAAAATTTAAACTACACTGATCTCGCTATAAAGTAACAGATAATTTATGACAAATTATCTTAGAGTTTGTTACACCTTACAAAAAGAAATTCGCCTTGCGCAGCGTCGCCATGATAATGGCCGGGAAAAGAGGGGGGGAAATCAGTCTGGCAAACAGAAGAAGTCTGGCCGGGCGAGCAGGAATTCGTAACGAGACGAAGTGTTCTCCATTGTTTCAATGAGAGACATCTACCAATGAACCGTGAATTAAAACGAACAAAAGAAATGGTTCAAGCCCTCGTTGTACAATCAAAGAATTAATTTTATTCGTAAATGAACAGAAGCGTGAAAGGGAGGAGATCAAATTGCACAAAGAAGATTCTTCTTTTGTAACGAGGAGGTACGGAGTCCTCCACTCTCCCTCAAGAACTTAGTACTTATTCAGGCTGAAGGATAACCACACATTCCCGACAGGTCCTGGACTAGTTTAATCCAATCCCCAACTCCACAGGACGCCCTGCGCGACAGCAGCTCCGGTGTTTGAGAAATCCCAGATTCTTTATGGAAAATGAAGGTTCATTACCACGCCACACAA